ACAGTTTTCTTTAAACCCTGCATTTTCCTGTTTTTGCACATGGTCTTCTTAGAGTCTGGTCTTGTAATTAAAGTATTGCTGTCATCCCCAAAGACTGATCTTTTAATTTGTAGTTTTAAAGCAGTCTCTTTTCATGAAGCGATAGGAAATTGCATATAAATATGACTACCAACTGGGATGTTGTACAGCACTAAACCTAACAAATGCTTCCCTTTGTATAGACTATATGAATATTTTATTTAGGAACATTCAAAAAGAATGATCTTGAATTTATCAAGCAGTGAACAATTAAAGGAAATACTTGCAGATTAAAGGTAGGTTAAGTGATTTGAATTGTAAAGTAGAAGAAGGAAATTCAAGGTAGTATAGCGTTTGAGTTGAGGATCCCTTCCTGTCATATGCATACATTGAATTTGGGAGCATAAGTTCATGTTAAGTCACATGTAAATTAAGGCTGACATGATATTGTCCTGTCTGGCATCTCTGAATAATTAACAGGGGAAAAAGAGAATTGTACAGTAGATCTTTGGTTTGGAGTTCCCTAAATTTAAATTTCTGGATATATCACTGAACATTCCACTTTTTCTGCGTCTCCGTACAAACCCTCTTACCTCTGCTCACCACCACATAAAATTTGTATTTTCACATAACCCTATCTACAAGCAATAGAGTGAAACTCTCTTAAATTTAAATGCTTAGCAAATAATTTTGTTTCAGCTGGGAATCACAGAGTAAATTGCAGGGCAAAATAAAAAAATTAAGTTGTCTATATTGTATAACATTGGTCCATGGAATCGTTCTAAATTTTATTGTGAGTGCTGAAACTAGTTATTCAAAATATGTTAAAGTATTTCACGTATAGGTGTAGAGATATATTTTCCATTGTGATGGCATCAGGTGGGACCTTTTTGGAAGCAGCCCAGCCTGGTGGGGAAATGTATTTGGGACGTGAGAGTCTGTCCCTGATGCAGCTGGAGTAGAGTGAAGGCTCCTCTTCCTGCTTTGGAAGTCATGACTCAAAGCTCCAGGACTAATCCACCTCTCAGTGGGAGATCTTTCTCAGCTGCAGTACAGCTTCAAATCTTACTGTAGTGAAAGTAAACTCTGAATCTCAGCAAAAGAGGCTGGAAAGTGGAGCATCCTCCTGATCTTAGGGGAGCGGAAACTTGTAAAAAAGCTACAGTGAACAGAAGCAGAGCACATCAATCTTACTGCATCTGCTCTCCAGAATTTTTATATGAAACATTATTTTGTTTTAAAAAGTCCCTTAATTCGGCCAGAATAATCTCTTTAAAATAAGGACAGTTAAAGAATTGGGACTAGAGGAACTTTGTTCTGCATTGCCAGTAGCTGCTGAGTTTTGTACTGCAGCCAGGAGCTGCTGACAGCTGTAGTGTCAAACATTTTAGTCATTCTTCATTCAAATTTAGTCATTCTTCATTCTGTTAATAGCTATAGAATTAGATATTCTATTAGATAATAGAATATCTAATTCTATTATTAGAATTTTTTATTAAGTGAAAAATACTATTTCAGCCTAACAGCCAGTCTGGGGTGAAAACAAATTATATTTGTGATTATAAACAGTGTTTACAGAATAAAGAATTATTCTGTGAACCATGTTTAGTTATTGGTACCAACCCCATTATATGAAAGGTAGAAAGAGACCACTTAGATGAGAAAGCTGCTTAGTATCTGAAAGAAATTTAACTTGCAAGACTCTTAATTTTGGGATTTGGTTTCTTTTTTGTTGGTCATAAAAAACCTGCAGGCTTTGCCTCTGAGAGATATGGAAAGTTTTATGACAAAAATCTTCTGTAGGAATTAGCACAGAGGCCTAGAACAAAATTTTAAAGCAGTGATGTCTTCAATTATAAGTGATCCCTTTGTCTGGTCTTGGTTTGCTACAAGAGAGTGTGCATTGGAGTTTGCCACTGCTAGGAAGATGTATTTAGTTTGTGTTCAACCAGCAATCAATTTCAGGATACAGATGGCTAAAGGACATGCTAATTCAGTGTTATTTGTCAAAAATGTGTACTGTACCATTTTTTTCAGGCCTGTGTTTGAATTTACTGAGATATTAGATCTTGAGGGAAAATGACAAAGTTGAGAAGACCTTGTGATTTATTTAATGTAATTGGAATCTATTTAAGGCTCTTTATTTTTTCAGCCAGCTTTGGTAGAGATGTACCTTCTTTGGAGTGCATAATGCCTGTTAAATCACCAAGATTTCTGCTCCTTACAAATGAATACATTGGAGCTTTAAAAAGAGAACTGCTCTTTGAAAATGCTGCATAGTCTCGTGCATGGGTTTTTCTGCTGCATGATCTCTGTACTCAGCTTAAAATACCTTTTAAAAGTTTCTAACTTACATTGAACTTCAGTCATCAAGAATTTTTATTCAAGAATGAAAAGAATTCTGTGTAGTTCAACAAGTGCTGGATCAGATCATAGACATGCCAATTCTGCCACTGACTTCTGGGCTGGCTACTTATTAGCAAGAAAAGCTTTGAAGTACCTTGTAAGAAAGTGATAATTAGGAAAAAAAAAAAAAGGTGTGGAACAATACTGTGTAGAAATCATACCCGTAACACCTTTTGCAGTTGTTCCTGTGGTGAAGCAGATGTTTCAGCAGCTATTTTGTCATGGTTTAATTGTGGAGCTCTTTGAGGCAAGTTGAGTCTTGAGTTCTGCCTTTTGGGGATGTTTGATTGCAGCAGTGACATTCATACTGATGGGCAGCTCCTCTGACAGTCCCATTCAAACTTTTGCAAGCACTGGCCTGAACTGAAAGCTCGGAGGAGGGTGGGAGCTGGGGCAGAGCAGAGTTCCAGGGCTTCTGAAGAGCAGCACTGCCTGATCTCCCTTCTGCCCTCCTGCACCTATTTGCATTTTCATTTGCCAATGTCCTTTGGTTTCAGGGGTTACTGGGGTGACTGCTCTGTGTAAACAGGACATCACGTACATGTTTTTCCAGTGTTTTGATTTGAAATGTGCTGGCTGTTAGGGAATCATCAATGTATTGCCTCTGATATCTCTTCACATGCACATTTAAGTCTCGCACGTGTCTGCAGTAATTTGAAAAAGAAAAGTCAATATTTGACTTTTCCAAAAGTATTGCCTCCTTTGCTTAATCTCTGTTGGAATTTGATGCAGTTTTTCTCTTAGTGCAGGTTTTCCATTTCTAATGAGAAAAGGTAGGTGAAAAAGGTGCTTAATGTAGTAGGCTTCATAGTAACTATATCATCAGATACCTGTGAGTGGCTTTGAAAAAAAGTCCATATGTTCTATGAGTGGGATGTTTTTCTCGGTTGGTTCTTTGTTTCCCATTGAAATGTTGTTTTTTTTCCATTGTTCTACACCAGTGAAGGGTGGGAAGGAATCATCAAAGGAAGATATCTTTCACTAGTAGGTAAGACAGGATCCTTGAAAATGATTTTGACCTTGTTCCTGTTGGGTAACTCCTAAAAAGCCTTTAACAGGTATTAAATATGCACTCCCATAGGCTTGCAGGCTGACTGGAGGGACAGATTCGTGTCACTTCTGGGTGACAAGCTTTCCTGGCATCTGTCAGCAGCACGTGCAGCTGTGCTTGCTCTGCCATGTTCAGGTGAGCTGAAAGGAGACAGGGCTGTGTTCTGGAAGGGCAGATTTGGAGGCAGTAGCTGAAGCAGTAGTGGTCCCTGACTGCTGTGGAAGTCACTCTGCCTTCAGCAGGGATGGGTGAGGGCGAGGATGAACCAGAGCTGAGACATGCAGGCTCTGTGGGGGTAGCAGGTGCTGCCAGAGGAGCATGGCAAACAGCTGGCTCTCTCAGGAGTGCAGTCTGAGAGTTGGTTCCCCTGCAGTGGAGCTGCCCAGGTGAATCCGGGTGATGCTGGAAACTTGGACAATGTGCAGCTGTTTTTCAAGCCAGGGTGTTGTTCAGCTGTTAGACGTGTAGGAAGGAAAGGAGCTGTGTGTGCACAAGCTCAGCACTGACTCTTCTGCCAGTGTTGGGGCTGTGTTTGCTCCCACTGCTGTGATGTCTGGGTGCCTCACATGTTTGCAGCGTGTTTATCCTCGCAGCCTTCGCCTGGAATGGGAAGGTGCTGCTCACTGCACTCTTTGTGGTGGGGAGCAGAGCTGGATGGGGGCAGACGTGTGCCTGAGGGTGTCTGTAAAAGTGCTGCAAATTGAATCTGAGCCTCTGCACTCTGGGGCTGATACATTTAATTGCTGTCACATCTCTCCGCCTTTGAGCTATACTGTGTTGTGAAACCATGGTTTACTGAAATGGGCTTGTTTTGCTATTGCTTTCTAAATCTTCTGCATGTATCTGAGCATTGCTGAAGTACTCTCAGTCAAAGAAATCATTCATGCCAAGGTGAGTTATCTGATTTTCCATTTTTTTTCTTGAGGACCTAACCTTGAAATTCACAGTTTGCACTGAGCTGAGAAATTTTTTATTGTGAACTTCATAGATTCCTACCAAACTGCAGAACTTCTGACTGATGAAATTCCATTTTTTTCTTGGGATGTGACTTATGTCTTCATCTGCTTTATTCTCCCAATACAAGTCAATTTTGACTTGTATGTGTTTATATCAACTTACAAGAGATTTTGGGGGGATTTTTTAAAATGAGGGTTTTAGCCTATTACTGTCCTGCAAATGGAGGGAGCTTCTCAAACTAATGTCTGGGCAACCAATCTTCTGCTTGGATGTGTGAAGCTGCTTCAATATTAAAAAAGAAAAAAACCATTTCCATAGCAACCTATTAGAAGCACAGAATGTTTTTGCTGTGTAGGGGTTTTGTAGTTGATGTTGTTACACCCTTACAGGATATTTTTGATTCCTGTAACCAAGCCGTAAGAAAGTAGCCAGTAATAGCACAGCAACATTTGTTTTTCTATTTAGGACTTTGTTCTGCCTGTATACTTGTATAAATAAATGTAAGCTGTTTTCAATGAAATTATCTCAGGTTTCTAAAACAGCTGCATATTTTGCCCACATTATCCAGCATTTCTTTTGAGTCCTGATATACCAGAATCAACAAACCTGCAGAGCAGAAGATGAGAAAGCAAAAAGGAGGTTACCCATCATGTACCACAGGTATGTTTAAACAGCTGGATGAGCTGCTTTCTCTCTCCCCAAAGAAGAACCATGCTTTGGCATTTATTTTCATTCAGGAGTGGATGTGTGCTCCACGGTACCTGTGCTAGAGTACCTCAGGATAATGGAGTGAGCCTGAATATTCAGCTTCTGCTTTGGTTGCATAAGGAGGCTGCACATTCCCTCCCAGGACACCCCTATTTAGTCCTTTTTTGGGTGGTGTTCCAGGCCATTTCCTGTCATTACGGGTGGGCAGCAAAAACAAGGAAGGCTTCTGACTTTTCCAGTCATGCTTTTTTATGTTGCCAGATTAAATAAAGTCAGCAACAATATTGCACTTACCTTCATAAGCAGAGTGACAAAACACTGCTGCCCCTTGTTTCGTGGCCATGTTGGTTAGGATTCCTGATGCATGATGAGGAATTTCTTTTGCCACCTGGTGGGCTGAAGGCTAGGAGGGAGGGAGGATTTCAGGCTACTCAGTCGTTGGTTTTGTTTATTATTATTATTATTATTATTATTATTATTATTATTATTATTAGGCCACGTGGTGGGCTGAGGGAGGGAGGGTTTCAAGGCTACTCAGTCATTGGTTTTGGTTATTATTATTATTAGTAGTATTGATTTTTCTGCATTTAAATGTCTGTGTCATAGAGGAACCCAAGAAAACTATTTTTGATTTTTAAAACATCTTTCCTGAGAAATTCCATATCTGCTCTGCATTGTTCCTGGCTTTTTTCCATATTAAGAAATCCTTTGTTTCCTGTCTTGCACCTCTTTACAGTGTCCCAGGTCCAGTATCACTGCACGGACTGGATTTACATCTCTTAGCATCCATAGAGACATGGTTTAGTTGTGGATTTGGCAGTGTTATGTTGGGCTCAATCTAATGTTTTTTTACAATCTAAATGATATGAGGGAATAATGAAGAAACAGAAGAGGCAGTATGTAATTTGGAAGCTTGATTTGTTTCAAGAGATGCACAAAAAGGAATTTATTTGGCTTAAAGACATTCTTTCTTTGTACATTCATCTTACTTTGGTAGTAATTTATGGAATACTTGAATTTTGCCCCAGGACCTTGAAGCTGACTTCTGCTGCCCTCTAACCCTTTTACCTTTGTAAAACTTAATAACTTTGACTAAATATTTAAGTAGATAGTGAGTGGTGTCTCAGAAAAGAGTTGATTGAAGAAGTGGGGCCTCATTTTACCTGTAGAGAAGGAACTGATTAACAAAGGATTAGAGGGTAGAGACTGCAGCCCTAATCGTGTCACTTCCATGATATGATTTTATAGAAGACTTGCTCATTTAGTTAAAACTGAATTTTTTTTTAATTAGAAGTCATGATTTATTTAGTTAAAAATGCTAAGGGGAAGTTCAGAACAGCTGGATTGACTGCATGGTAATGTGACTGTTTCGTGTCAATTTACTCAGTACCACTGAAAGGTTATTAATTTGGGTTAAGCATTCTCTGTGGATTCACAGGCTGGTATATTTTGAGATTGATACAGCAAATCCATACCTGTCACTGCTTAGCTTGGCTGTAATGTCACACCACTGGGATCAGCCAAGTGACACCACTTACACCTGTGTCTCTGCTTAGGAAAGCCATGGTGATTGTGGAGGCTGCTGATGTAGCAACACACATGATGTTGTGGTGCCTGTAGCCTGACTGCTGTTTGCACACTGGTATGGCTGACAAGATGCATGCATTAATTAAATTTAGGACGTGATTTGGAGGTTCTCACTGAGTTTACATAAAAAATAACTTGCAAGCTGCAGGAATGTGGTCATAAATAATTTACTTTCCTGAACTTTGTTGACAGTGAGCCTTCAGGCTGAGAGAGGTAGCTCTTCACTTGGTCAATTAGTGAACCTCCAGCTTAACTCAGCTGCTGTTGGCTCCTGTGGGATTGGTGTCCAGAGGCCTCTTTGAAGAGCTGTCAGTTTGGCTGGCAGGTGTTTATTCTGCAGTGGTGTTATCTCTGGGCACTGCTGATCCCCGTTTCAAAATAGCTGTGACACCAGTAAGCACTGAGGCTAGCATTTCTGAGAGTAAATTCAAATAGCTTGATCCTAAAGGCTGCACTGCTTGAAGGGCTTAATGAATGGCTGCCATGCCCCTGAACTCCATCATCCACAGTTCAGTGATCATCTCCTGCTTATTTGTAAGGCTTCTGCCACCAGAAATCCTGGTATCCTAAAACTTCCATTAACATTGTGGAATTCTGAGAAACATATTTTCTTATTTCTGAAAGAAGAGTTTCGTTTCTCAACTTTTTAATCTGAAGATTTGTGGTTTTTCTTACCAACGCTTCTCTCATGGTTACTTACTACTAACAGATTTCATTTATTATGCTTTTTAGCACTGGAGTAGTTTGCTACTAATAAGCTGCATCTTATAGCTGGAATATGTCCATGTGCCTGAAACCACAGGTCATAGAGGAATATTGAAATTAAAATGCAGTCAAAGATTTGTTCTTCTCTGAAGATATTTTACTCATGTTTTGAGCACATTAGTTTTTTCAAGGTGTTACACTCCTTTTGTGCTACCTTTCAAGGCAGTGAAAATGTGTTAAAATTGAGCGGACAATGTACAGATATAATTTCAAAAAATGGCATTGCTTTGTAGATTAAGCACCTGAACTTCATCCCATGGTGAAATGCACATTTAGTGTGATTTGGTGTGAACAGAAACCAATTTTCATGGCTTTGCAGTTCCGTTAGTGTAGCATTTCATTACAGTGACTCGGAGCCCTCTCCCTTCTTTTCTCTGAGTTAAATCCAGACTCTTCTAAGGCTCAAAGTAATGTGTACTTTTTCTTGTTTTATCTTTATTCTCAGGATTTGCTAATACTCCCACAACTGCCTTACATGTCATTCTGTTTTTCTCAGAGGTATCCAGGCAATTCCGTTTTCTTCCCCCTTTCTCTGAAGAATTTCAAAGATCCAAAAACAGAACCCCAAAGATTGGTTCAAGAGATGACAGAAAGACAGTGTTCAGGTTTGCATGTGTATTCTGCCACAAACTCTTAAAGTCCTTGATCTCTCTGCCTGAAATCCCCACTTGTGCAACTTTGGCTTGTTTCATGAGAGAAGGCTGAATTCTTATGTGATACCCTGAAGGGACTCGCTGGTGTGCCATTGCTTTGTTTAGCTGCTGCCTCTTCTCTCAGTTCTGTGTTTTCACACTGCCACTCAGACCCCTCAAGTCTTGTGGCTGCTCAGAAGTCTGTTAAATCTGGCTTTGGATAGAAAAGAGCAGGAAAGGTGTAATGACTAATCAGGATTTTGCTGCATGCTGCAGGCAAATCTCTTTGTAGTTATCAGGAACTGTGTTATGATCAGTACTGGAGAGTGAGAGAGTTTGTTTATAATTACAAAGTCTACTATGTGAATACTGATTCACCTACAGTTAAAAAAAAAGTGTCTTCTACTTTTTGAGGAAGAATCTGCAAGAGCCCTGTTGTGAATGTGTTAATGCATTTTGTAAGAGTGAGTGTGTTCCTGCAGCATATCCCACCCCAAATCAGAGACATGCCAGGTTGTTTTTCATGCCTGCCAGTTATTGGAATGTAACAGATGTGAAACTCGAAGGCAAACTGCTGTGAGCAGCTCCTGTCCTGCCCAGCACTCTGTGTTAGTTAATGATTCCTGTGTCTTCCACAGGTGCGTGAAAATGTGTAGAGCACCAGCAGCACTTGGACATATCTAGAAATAGCAATGCTGTGTGTTTCAGATGTGCTAAAGATTGGAGGTATTTGAATCCTGATTCAGCCCCTGTAGTTTGAATGGATATAAATTATATTTTCAGGTATATTTTTTTTTACTTTTAACCAAACCTACTTAGCAAAATTCTGCTCCAGATGTGTCTTCCATCAGGCAAACCCTGTAAGTATGAGTCAATTGTACATTTCCATAAAACAGTACAAGTACTCCTCTCCTAGTCCAAATAGCTTTTAAACAACCTATGTGAGACAGAACAGAATTATGGATTTGAATATTTATATCTATTGAGTATCAAAGTTATTTGGCTTGACACTGTATCTCACCTAATTCTGAAAGGTTTATCCAAAGCTCTTGTCTGTTTTCTTGTCTCTGTAACTCAGGACAGGCAGAATCCAACTTCTGGAATAAACAGGATCTTGAACAAGTGAGAGATGGAGAACTTGACATGCTGAGTTTTGTCATACAAAGTCCAGGAACACATGCTAAAGTTGAGATCAGTCCTTCTCCCACTCAGTGGTGATGAGACAGCTTTTCTGTGGGCTAGTAGATATATGGATGTTAAAGAAGGTGAGCTGGCCAGCAGATCATAATGTCAGAGCCAGAGCTTTTCCTCAGATCCTTTTGCTTAGCTGCACACTGCTGAGACATGCCCACCAAGGCAAGCTGAGGATATCTTAGGGGTTCTTTGTCCTGCATGCTTTTTAATCAGTCAGTTGCTTGAAATGCTTCTGTGGTTTAAGGTGACTGGCCAGTTATTGCAGTTTTATAGCAGATTTAACAAAAAACTTTACAGAGTTATGTTGCATAACCCCTTAATTTCAGTCAACAGAGCAATTGCTGACATCTCCTCGGGAAGCAGCACGTGTTTTTTCTTTTCCCCATTGTGAGTCTGGGAGGATTCACCTCTTCACCATCCGTGGTGTGTCAGCACCAACCCAAACTCCTCCCCATTGCTTATCTCCTTTGGAAGCTTTGCCTGCACAGTGGGCATCGTTTGTCTCTCTCCTAATTCCTGTCTGACTGTAAATGAAACAGGAGCATTTGCAAATAATAAATCTTTTCAGTGTATGGACAAAGCTGCTTCTGTAATTGTGTTAGCTGAAGCAGACGATGAGCTGAAATCCTTTCTGAATTAGGGTTTATGTAACTCTAACCCAATTCCTGGCTAAGCCTTGCAGCTCGATCCAGAACAGTGAGCACTGACAGCTCGTGGGTTTTGCTGCAGCCTGAATTGTGTGCCTAACACACTAAGGCTGGAATTGCTCAGTCT